CTCTCTCTCTCTCTCTCTCTCTCTCTCTCTCTCTCTCTCTCTCTCTCTCACACACACACACACACACACACACACACACACACACACACGGCCACTGTTGATCCCCGCAAAGCAACGGTCCGATAACATTGTTTGGTCCCCCGCGCCCCGCGCGACGAGACCGAAAGCACAAATCCCGAGAGGCGGTTAACGGAGACCCAAAATTTCAGCGTTTTTTTAATGCTATTTATAAGAAAACTAGAAACCCTTTTTAACCAAAAATTGCATCATTCCATAGAGTGCACACCATATTAACAAACCATGAGAAAAAAAACAAAAAAATAAAATAAAAACAGGGTGAAACAGTAAGGCAAAAGTGCACTTGAATGACATTTTGGATTCAGTGAATTTTCAGAATTTTCACCCTGTTTTTATTTTTTATTTTTTATTTTTTTCTCATGGTTTGTTAATATGGTGTGCACTCTATGGAATGATGCAAATTTTGGTTAAAAAGGGTTTCTAGTTTTCTTATAAATAGCATTAAAAAAACGCTGAAATTTTGGGTCTCCGTTAACCGCCTCTCGGACCTCACCGACTCCTGCCGCAGTCGCCTTCACCTTACCCCCCTCCTGCTGCAATCGCATAGACCTCACACCTGACCCCATGAATAGTTTGCTTGGGGATTCCTTAGTCCAAGCATGAAAGGAAGGCTTTTTTTTTTTCTTTTTTTTTTTTAACACAACCCGAACGAGAACTAGGGGTGCTGATAGGAGCAGACACCTCTAGTACTGGCAGGGAGGCTCCATCTATTGGTGGGACGCGTCACCTGCTGGAAAACGGGTCCAGCGAAGGCTGACTGGTGGAAGGGGTTAAAGTACAACCAGCCTATAAGGTGTGGCTTTGGGCTGTCTCCATGAAAAGGGGAAGCACACAGCTTCAGAGGTTAAACCACCACTTTCCGCACCCCAGGCAAAAGGAATAGCTGGACAACTACATCGGCCACAGCGTTCGGGGTTCAGGGCTCCCGGACGAAAAATGACTATCGTCTTTCAACCCGAACAGAACGCCCAGTAATTATAGCTGTATTTGGGGCAACTTTCAGTCTAGATACTTCTCGGTAATGACTGGGCATATTTCTATTCAGGTGAAGACGGTAAGAACGCCAGACAAGAAGAGAAAACTGTGCGCACGCTTTGGGCGTGCAGGCGTCACAGCAGACCTCGAGTCGGAAAAAAACAAACAGCCTCGGACGTAGTGGCAATTCAAGGGGGGGTCAAAAGGAGGCTTAAGAGGACAGCACAGAGATACAGCAAACTTACTTGGGTGTACTCTTTTGCCTTGCAATCAATGAGCACTCCTCGCTGAATCATCAATTCCCTGACTGAGGACATTTAGGGTTTAAGGTTTACGGTTTAGAGTTTAGGGTTTTAAGGTCAAACCACCACTCCACCTGTTTTGACAAACTAAATGCGGCTTTCCCCGAGCCTAAAATCTACAGTGCCATGAGGGAAAAAAGTTGTGGTACCCTTCCCCACCGAACCTCTATCAGGCCCGCGCACTGTAGAGTTTGGCCTGGTACTCGTAGAGAAGAAAAATGAACAGTGCAGGGGCCATGGAATAGTAAAATGCCAAATCGAACGAATCCACACATTCTGATTTTTCTTTCTTCTTTGTCCAGACTCTAAAAGCCCGCGTTGCTCGCGTAAAACATAAATCTTGGGTTTATGAAAACGCGCGAAGCGATCACTTCGAAAAACAAGTGATGGAGTGTTGTTTTCTAGTGCCTTTCTTTTGATCACTTGGGATACACTCATTTCTCCCATTGAACGTACGTAATTTTGATTCATAGATTGGAGTGGTGGTCTAAGGCTTTAGGTTAGGTCCTAGGGCTTAAGGTTTTGGGGTTCAGGGTTCACGTTTTAGGGTTTACCATTTAGGGTGTAGAACTTTGGGTTTGCTGTTTAGTATTTAGGGTCTAGGGTTAGGGTTTATAGGGTTTAGGGTTTAGGGTCTAGAACTTAGGATTTAAAATTTAGGGTTTAGGGTTTAGGAGTCAGGAGTTAGGGTTTGTGGTTGAGGGTAGAAATGAAACAAGCTTACGTAGGTTTACTCTTTCGCCTTACGATGAATGAGCTATGCACTGAATCAATGGATTGAAAGGGGGGAGAGGGAGGGGGGGGGGGGGGGGGGGGGGGGGGGGGGGGGGGAAGAGGGAGGGGATAAGAGGACAGGAAAGAAATGCATGTAGCTTACTTGGAATACTCTGTTGCCTTGCGATCAATGAGATGTCTCTGAATCAATTCATTGACGCCAGCAAAGGTTATCTCCATACTACTACCGGGCATGTCATGACCGTGACTACCTCCAATCAATAGCAAGTGTCGTTTTCCTTCATCACGCTCCCT